CCCGTCTGCACGGAGCCCCCTGACCTGGACAGGTGCGCTGTTCCATGGAAGTGGGATGGGAAGAGCCGGGGTGTCCTCGGGTTTAGATTCTTGCTTGTACCGTCTTGTGCCCTGGCAGTAAGTGGCTAAAGGCTTAACCCTCGTTTTTGGCTTGTTGCTCCTTCTGACACCTGATGGCTCGGCTCTTTGTCTCTCTCTCTCTCCCAGCTCAGCCAGCCTCCTGACACTCACAAGCACCTGGAAGCGGGGGGACACTGGACACTGGAGGGGGCTGGGAGGACGGTGCTCCACCTGACGGGAGAAGGGAGAGGGGAGGGGGTTGCAGAAGCTGGGCTCCTCGAGGCTCTGGTCAAGCCCCAGGGGCTCTGCCCAATGCACCCACACCCCTCCCATTTGGAGCAGAAGGCCTTGCCTCAAGCCAAAAGGGAAACTGAGGCCACCAGCACGGCTTCCCTCGACTTCCCCTTGCCCTGCACTTATCAGGGGCCTCAGTGCCCGGGCCCCAGATGGCCCCCAGGTTCCCTCCCCACTTCCTCCGGCAGCCGGTCTCCCTTCCTCTGCTGTTGCCTTCAGCCTTGATTCTGCTCAAGATCCTGCTCAAGCTCCCGCCTTCTGGAGTAAACCTTGCCCTCCATCCTGCCTTCCCCTGAGACACCAAAGTCTCTCCCCTCCTGTGAGGTTTGCAGCGTCTGCAAAGTGGGGAAACAGGATAACTTCTCCTACAATTCTCAAATCATCAGCTCGTTATGTTTCTAGGTGAAGTACCTCCAAATTTAATCCAATGAGGCTGATTGTGAATCTGAAAAAAGCACAATTGATACGTTAGAGTGTCCAAAACATCTGGAAACACAAGGAAACTATTAAGCCAATCATTTGAAAACTAACCAGTTACTTGCAACTAACACAGTGTTCAAAAATAAGTTTGTTTCAGGGCTGGCCCCGTGGCATAGTGGTTAGGTTTGCATGCACCACTTCAGTGGCCCAGGGTTCACAGGTTCGGATCCCAGGCTTGGACCTACCACCACTCGTCAAGCCATGCTGTGGTAATATCCCACATACAAAGTGAAGGAAGATTGGCACAGACATTAGCTCAGGGCCAATCTTCCTCACCAAAATAAAGGAAAAAAAGTTTGTTTCCTGCCTCTGCAGACACAACCACTTGCGCGTGCACTCACACACACACACATGCACACACTCTTGAGTAACGCAAATGGCAGTGTTTCCATTTCCTCATGTCCTCCCAGGTCCTCGGCTCGCCCCAGCCTGGCCTCTGTCCTTGTGGCCCTCATGCTGCCATCTTGAAGACTTGATGACTCACAACTGGGAAGAACAAGAACTCCTGCCCGTCTTCCCTTTCAGTGCTTAGAAGTGAAAAGCTGGACCACCAGGCCTACATCTTGTCTCTTTCTCTCGCCAGCTGGGGGACGACAGACAGGGTGACTAAGCTCTCTGTGCCTCAGTTTCCTTACTTGTGAGAAGGGATGAAGCAACTGTTGGAGGTACAGGTATAAAGTGCTTGGAAGGACAAGGGCAGAATGAGGATTCACGCCACCTTCACGCTCTCCTGCTCTGCACCCTCCCGCTCTCAGCTTCTGGTTCATCTCCCTCTGCCCTCTGTTTAAACCTCAAAAGGAGTTCGAAGGCCCACCTGGTCGGAATCCCCTGGGGGTGATCAAATCGCAAATTCCTGGTCTCTCCCCGACAGGTTCTGATGCAGTGGATCTGGAATCCAGCCCAGGGGTCTGCATTTTAGACAGCCTCTCGTGCGTGCTCGCCTTAGACCCCAGCCTCAACTCTCTTCTCCCTCTGATGCGGGGTCGGTGAGCCGAGGAGTCGAAAGAAAGATTTCTTGGACTCTTAACATCTGGCAGTAGTGCTCTTTTATTTAGAGAATAGTGTGGAATAGCATGGGGACAGGACCCATGGGCAGTCAGAGCTTCTGCTGCTGCTGCTTCTGCTGCCCCCGCTGGCATGGGGACAGGACCCATGGGCAGGCAGAGCTGGTGCGTGGGGACAGGACCCACGGGCAGTCAGAGCTCCTGCTGCTGCTCCGAGTTGAGCGTTAGGGCTAAATTTAAGGCATGGGTATGTGAGTCATCTCTTTACAAGACAAAGGAAAAAAAGTTAAAATGGTACCAGTGCCGGTAGGGTCCGGACATTGGGCGGTCCCACAACTTTTAGATAAGAATCAAACCGGATTGAGTAAATGGCAGAAGTCACCGCTCAAATATTATCTTCAACTAAAGACAAAGGAGGATTTTGGGGTGGGGGGTCAGTTACATGAGGTTGCCAGACAGTAAACAACTTAAGTTCTTGCCTTCCCCATTAAGAGTTTCCAGAGATAAGGCCATCCCCCCTTCCTCCTGGGGCAGAGAGTGAGGCATGGAGATTTCCTTCACAAATGCAATTGTCTCTGATCAAAGGGCAAACAAATTCCACTCCTCGGAGCCTGCTTCTTATCTGTAGTTTTAAAAGTAACCAGCCTAAAAATCCTCGTCATAAACCATTTTAAAATTAAGCAGCCTAAAAATCCTCATCACCTCTAGACTCTGTGACCCCCGGCTTCAGTCCAACAAGGACAAGACCTGCTCCACAGAGCCGAGCTCAACGAACGTCCACGGAATCCAGCCAGGGAGACTGGCCTGAAAACCGTTAGGAATGCGTCCTGCAGACAGCCACATTTCCCTAGAATGAGAATTTGGACATAGCTTGGGGGGAGGTGACCCTTTTTAAAGCACCCCAGATTTTTTGTTGGAACTATTCAGTTCCTGAAATACATTACATGTGTCTCTGCCTTGTTAAGCAAAGTATATAAACACAACCTAACCTTTTTCTTAATGACTAAGCTCATCATTACGAACATCACGTCATAATATGTGGTGTTCCTGATCCGGCACTGGGCAATCACGCCATGAGTTCTCTTAGTCTGCTGCTTAAAGACTGTCTCTCTTGCTCTAAGGTATTTCTGCTGCCAACAGCCTTTCTTCCTTTCTATTTCTAGTATGTTGTAAGCTTGAAAATCCAAAAAATGTGTTAGGAACGTGTCCAATAAGATTGAATAGGATCTGGGATCCTAGGCCCCTCTTGTGGATGGAGGACATGGATTTCCATTTATGTCTTTGAAACACCTTTCAGCCACCCAGGGTCTCCTCCTTCTTGTGGACTTATGCTCGATTATGGTCAGAGAGTGGCCGGATGGGTGCAGTCCAGATGGAGTCCTAGTTGTGGGCTTTATCATCTATCTATCCACCTACATCCACCCATGCATGCGTGTATCCTACCAATTATTTAAAGTCAACTGCAAATCGACTGACTTCATGTATATGGAGTGGAATGCTATCAATAACTCCAACTGGTGATTGATCACCTCCCCCTAGTGGTGGAAAAGCGTATAAGAAAGGTAACTAAAAAAACCCCCACACACTGTTTACAGAAAACCCACGGATGAGGTCAACGGTTTAGTCCCATTCTTAGGTCATCCTCTACAAATTTTCCAAGACGGCCAGGTGTTCCGCAAATTCCAAAACTGAGTTTTAAGTCCCAAAGCCTAGAAAAGCACCTGTGTTTAAAATAAACATAAACATCTACTGGTTAGGCATATTAAGGTTCTTCGTGAAAAGCCAACAGCCGCTCCCCTTCGGATTTATGAGGCACACGGGCAGGAGCGCAGTGGGAGGAAAGGGCACGCAGAGGTGGGGGTTATGCCAGGCGTGCTGGCAACCAGTGACACCCTAGTCCCGCAGAGAGAGGAAGCAGAGGCTGCGTCTCTAGAGCAGGGCGGGCAGGTCACCTGCCAGGCTGCAGAGGGCGCTCTGACGATGACAGGAGGGTCGGCCGTGACCCAGGGTCGTTCTGGGCCCCACCTGAGTAGGTGAGGGAAGCTTGGGAGCCAGGTCACAGAAACCCAAGGGCATTACTCCTCTGCTCTGGCCATTCGTTCACACTCCACGAGATCCCCGGCGGACGGAGGCTCCCGGGCAAAGACTCGCAGGAAGGCTGGGGTGCAAGCTTAACGGAAAGCCCCCTTTTGACTATTTTGGGATTTGCAGTTTGTAGGGTCAGGGTCTATTCTGCACTCATAATTCTGACTCCATGTGAATCCTGCTCTCTAAATTGTGATTAACAGCATCCAGCAAACAGGAAAATTTAAGATAAAATTCCCTCTACTTCTCACGTTTAAAATTCCACCTTCTACCAATCTGGGCCGGGACACAGTAGACATTTATTAATACACAGTCACACAAATTTTCCACATGGCCAGTGGCAATGGAACCCAACACTCCACTGCATTCACAGCTTTGGTGACTGCTTTCTCATTCCCCATCCTCTCTGGTTTCTCGAAAAGTGAGAGAACTTGAACCTTTTAATAGAGACCTCAGTCTGTTAGGTGCCAAGTCAAAAAGTCTTATCAGGCCCCCTGCTCTCCGATCTGAAAGTCCCTTCGGTGTGTCCACCCTTCCTCTCTTCTCAGCAAACCCCAACAAGCAAACCGGCGGGAAGAGGACAAAGCTCATGGGTTCCTCCTGTTCCCTCACCACAGGACTCAGCGCAAGGGGTTCTTCAAGACTTGGGACCCATCGTGGCAGATGGGCACACGGTGATCCTCCATACAGACCCTCACAGATCGGCAGAGGCATCAACGCTCCTGGACAAACTCCTTCCCCCAACAATGAAAACACGCGCACAAGGGTGACAGTGCTTGTGGGAGGGAAGAGAAGAAAAGGGGTGTATGGCAGGGGGCAGACTAGAGGGACGGAGGGGTGGGGGACGGCGAGCAGGCCGAGGCTTCCATCCCCCGTGGCCAACGCCACTTCTCCTGCGGCCCAGTCCTCTGTGGAGGCGAACCTGTGATCTGGGACCCACAGTGAGAAAATGCTGGAAGAGGGTGAGTTTGCAGAAGTCCCTCCTCTCACAACATAGAGGGGGGTGTGTGTATGAGAGAGACACACACAGACAGACAGAGAGACAGACTTTGGTTTATTCCAAAGACCAGAGACACCTTTTTTTACAAAGGTATTTTATTTCAGTAAACAAAATACTGTTTCTTTCAAAAGCACATAAAAATTCACATTATTTTAAGTTAGAGCTATAGTTTGGGAGTTTATCCTCTGACCCATGATTCAATAATTAAGTCTTTCTTCTCTTTCTTCTCAGCTGGAGTCCCCTCAAGCTGACATTTAAATTACAAAATCTAGAAAGGAAGACCAAAGGGATAGCATGAAATGTCTAATAAAATAATAGTGAACATTTCACTTGCTCAGCGTTAGCCCCTGTGTTCAGCCATTTAGATTAACTAACAGAAACCACTGAAGTTCATTTATTAATGAATAGATTTTTAGTGTCATAATTTCCTTCCATCTAGAAATCCTTTTGTTTAAAACAAGGCTCCAGGCTTTGAGGAGCTGCCCCCTGGGAGGGAATGTGAAGCCCGTGGCCAGCTCCAAGCGCAGCTGTGTGAGCCATGGTCCCCATGTCACTGCAGGCCTCTGTGGGTGTTTGTGGGATGGAAGAAGCGTTTATGACCACACACCCAATCTTTGTTCCTCTTCTTGGGTTAACACACAAAATGATGTCTGGAACGGAAATTCAGTCAAGATTTCAATAGAACCGCCTTCCCTCACCCTTCTTAATTTCTAACTGCTCCCTTTTCCATCACCCTAGTGCCTACTCTTGAGTTTCAGTCCATAACACATCTTAAAAACAAAGAAAGGCGAGATTCCACCACAGTAACCTCTCTGCCTGGCACAAGTGTGCAGCTCCCCGAGGCTCAGGGAGTGGCGCCGGGCGGGTGACAGAGGCGGCGAGCACCAGGGAGCCACGGGCCTTCTCACAGCTCACGGCCCTGCGCTCAGCGAGGCGGCGCGGCCAGGGGTGCGGCCCGGTGGTGGGGTGTGTGACCTGGGCCAGTTCTGGTTCTGCTCCTCACCGTGTACAGTGTGAGCCACTTTCTCAATCTGCATGGACCTCACAGAGTTGTCAGGAGGAGGATACGACACAACACCGCTGTGTATGAAACGCTCAGCAAAACGCCAGCACAGAATAACCATTCAGTAAGTACCACTATTACGACTAACAAGTCTGCCCGTACCCTCGACAAGTCTGCAGGTACTGTAAGGGAGGTCACCTTTCCAGAAGCATGGAAGCTCAGCGTGGGTGGGGTTTTGGATGTCACCAGCCCTGTGGTTCCTACAGTGACCTGTTGCTAAGAGGACTACGTAAGAACAGATGTCCAGACCCAACCACAGGCAAACGGAATCTCTCTGAGGCTGGAGCCTGGGAATCTGTATTTTCATTTTTATTTATTTTGTTTAGGAAGATTAGCTCTGAGCTAACATCTGCTGCCAATGCTCCTCTTTTTGCTGAGGAAGACTGGCTCAGAGCTAACATCCGTGCCCACCTTCCTCTACTTTATATGTGGGACGCCTGCCACAGCATGGCTTGCTAAGCGGTGCCATGTCTGCACCAGGGATCCGAACCAACGAACCCCGGGCCACGGAAGCAGAACGTGCGAACTTAACTGCTGTGCCACCGGGCCAGCCCCGGAATCTTAATTTTTAGCAAGCACCCTAGGCAATTCTGACTGCTAGCCAAGTTTGGGAATCACTGATCTGGAACCACCTACCATGATATTTGAATCCTCTAACTTTTAGAGAAGCACAGAATTCAACCTGATAAATGAAAAAATTGGACAGCACACCAGAATTAAGGAGACCGCTAACTGTCATATGATAACTCTCTCACTGGGCTTAATAACAACTTCCTGGTGCCTTGATGTACTTAACAAACACGTTCCGGGCACCCTGTGTGCGCTGTGGGCACTGGGCTACGACGAGGAGTAAGACTTCGCGCCTGGTGAGGTCGTCTTTGGGAAGGGCCCTCTAGGCCAGGGAGCCAACAAGCAGTGGCAGAGGGGCCTGGCAGTCTACTGTGGTGAAGCAGTGGCCTGCAGGAGCACGGGGAGAGGGCTGCAGAAGCGCAAATGTGACCTGGACTGGGAAGGGATTTACACGCCGTACCCGGGAGTCAGACTTCATCCTGAAGACAGAGGGTTTCTGATCTCAGGCACAGGCAGGGGTTTCAAATGACCCGGGAGGAATTTTACACACACTTGTAGGTATTTCTAGTATGTGCACTTCTCCGAGGAGAAGGTCCACCGCTTTCATGAAATTCCCAGGAGTGCTGTGGCCCAGCAGCTGGAAAGCACCAGCACTCCCGCTAAGGGAGAACCAGGCAGGCTCAGAGCCGAGGTGCGGACGGATCACACATGTGCCCTGGCTCAAGGGCTGGGATCTGCACTCCCCTCATCCACAGCAGCTCGACCTCAGACGACAGGCGGGGCCCCGAGCCCTCAGCCGCCTCCAGACCCGAGGGACGTGGGGTTCTCTGAGCTCTCACATCCGAGGACGGCCCACCCTGACCCACCGTACAGTTCACACTTGCAAAGTCCCAGTACCTCTGATTTCCCTTTAGTTGTCTTTCTTCTCCGCCTGCTGCTGCTTCTCAGCTTCCAGCTGTCGCTGTTTTGCTTCCAGTCTCTTCCTCTGGTAGACTTTGACTCCAGCAAATGCCAGGCAGAGAATTAATGTTTTCGCTGCCAAGATATACAGCAGCAGGGGCACGTGCTCAAGCACCTTAAAGAAGAAAGAAACCACTCTCAACGTTCTGCAGTTGATAAGGAGTGTTTCTTTTATGTTCCGTCAGTCAACAAACATTTACCGAGCACCTCTTATGTAACAGGCACTAGGCCAGGTGCTGGGGCTTCACTGGTGAGCAGGACAGACACGGTGCCTGTCCCCACATCACTGACAGTCTGGTTTGAGCTCTGCCTTTCATCACCCCCTGGCTGCTGGCTTCACCGAGAGGACCACCAGTAGACTACAGACGTCATAACGCTGGTCTCTCGCGACCTGACCATGTACTTTGCCCATCACCCAGGCCCTCTGCTTCTGATGCAGCAGCGTGGTCCAGTGCAAGGAGCCAGAGCCAGGGAGCCTGGGTGACGGCTCCACTCTGCCACCAACTGACTGTGCGACCTGGGTCAGTCACTTGACTTTTCTGAGCTTCCTCCTTTTCACCTGTGAAGGAAGGCTGGACCAGACCTTCCTTCTGGATTCTTCTACTTTAGTACACAATTTCCTCTTGGTTCCAGCTACCCATCAGCACTCATATTTGAATGTAAAATAAATACAAAAATAAAATACAATAAAACTTAAAACATTAAAACATGGCCACTATTTACTGTTCCTGTAATTTTCTGTTGGAGAGAAGTTTTAAGCCATTGGCTAACATGAAGTCTGGGGAACAAGCAGGGATTTGAATTCCTCTTTGCGCGAGTGAGCTTTCTTATGAAATTCTATCTACCACAATAGTATCTCAAGGCAAATACTATGCTAGATTTGTCAACATGATTAGTATGACCTGAAGGATAATTATGAGCTTTTGGTGCGATTAAAAATTCCTACCTGGGGCTGGCCCCATGGCCTAGTGGTTAAGTTCAGTGCACTCCATTTTGACAGCCTGGGTTCGGTTCCCAGGCACAGACCTACACCACTCGTTGGCAGCCGTGCTGTGGTGGTGGCCCACATACAAAATAGAGGAAGACTGGCAGAGACGTTAGCTCAGGGTGAATCTTCCTAAAGCAAAAAAAAAAAAAAACCTTCCCAAATAAAGCAAAAAGGTACACTTTTGTTGAATGATCATTATTCTAAAGGACTAGGTAGGACTTATTCTAATGAAATCATTAGTTAAACTGCCAAACACCACGTATGATATGTAACACCCACAGAATGAGATTCTACTACAGGGAGTACACTTGTCCTCCCCCTAACAGTGTAGCTCCAGTTAATCTGAAACTAGTTAGTGAAAACTTTAGCTGAGAACAATATGCTCACAGACCTGAACGGCAGGAAAGGATTTTAAAGATGACTCAGTCTACCACCTTGTTTTATAAACAAGGAAAGTAAAGCTCCTGGCAGTTGAGACATCAATCAGTATCACACAGCTAATTCCTGATGAGGCCAGAGTTGGGACAGAACATTCTAACCCCCGTGCCAGGCTTCTTTCCACTGATTCCTGATTTTCAATGAAATGGCATTAATGAAATGAGAAATTATGTACACGTATGTTCCTATAGTTTTATTCTAATTCTTTATGACTCAGACCTAGACGAAGATTTCACATATGGAAGCTGTAGCATCAGCTACCACCCACTGGGAGCTTCCTGTGCTCTAAGCGCCTCACACAGACTTCTCCCTTTAATCCTCAGAGTGTCCCCACGAGGCGGACAGACTGTCCTCATTTTACGGCTGAGAGAACGTCAAGTCCAGAAAGGTGAGGGTCTGACTGTGCTCCGACTGCCCCAAAGCCTGAAGTCGTCATCACCACACACGACTGTAACAGACATGCCGCTCTCCCTGATCCTCACCAATTTCACAAGTAAATTATGCAAATCAACGACGGCGTGGCTACTGACCCTACCAAAGGCAGCTAGAACCACCACCTCTGAAGTTACTGAACGGGTTCCTTACCGACATTTGAGGAAGGCTGCAATGTGACGCAGTAGGAACGTAACAGGTATCAAAAGGAGGACTCCAAATACTTAAATTGGTTTAATTTAACTAAAACAATAGGAACACAAGAACACTCGGAGTCACTAGGTAATAGTTTTCAACCACAAAATCATTTTAACAGTCGAGAATAAACAGAACATATGCACTTCAGAAAGATCACTCTGGCAACAATACAAAAGACTAAAAAAGTTACAAAAGTGAAACTTTCTATCTCGACAAACATAAGCAGCTTAGAACGCTGATTTGGTTTCCAGGTCCTTCCTCCTGAGACCCATGGCCAACCTCCCCACCTCCTCCAAATCATCCTCTAAGTCATTTACTTTCTGGAAGGTTCTCATTTTAGAGAGAAGAGGCTTGACTCCACGTTTATAAATCAGCTATGAAAGAAAAGAATGTTAAATGTTATTTGTCTCTTTGGAGGCAAAAATCACGAGTTTGTTGAAATACACCTCTTTTTATGTTCACTAGGATTTTCTAGGCTAACTGAGCCCTGTTCATATTGGAAGAGCTACCATCTTCTAAGTCTCTCGATCTACGGATGAGCCACGAGAGTCCTACCGTGATGGAGCCCACATCACAGCCCAGGGTGTCGCCCGCGTGAGCTAAACACGAAACTTAGCTTTAGCAGCTACAGTAATGTCTCTCTCAATCAGAAGTTAGAAAATCCACTGAAATGGTAACACATCCACAGATGGGCACAGCTAAGAGGTTTTGGTATTTACTTTCTTTTTAAAGGTAATGGAGAGGAGGTGACAAGAGGCAGAAGTTTCAGGTTTGAGAGGGGGCCAGAGCAGAGGCAGGAGAGGTCAAGGATGCTACAAGGGCTGAAGCAAAGGGGCCTTCTTGCGTACTAAGGGGCCCCGGTCCTGCCCTTTGGGGTACCAGGCTTCAGTGGTGTTGAATCTCTTCCTTTGATTTCCTTCTAACAAACCCCTTCTCACATTAACTTTCAAAACATGCAAACCCTCAAGGCGGTAAATGAATAAAATATTGTTGGGGTGGACTACATCTACACCAATTTTTTTAAACAAAACCCCAACACCTGTGTAATGAGAATGGCTGACCCTTTAAAGAATGAGGCTACACTCTGTTGCCAATGCATGGGCAGTGCTGACTGACGGCCACAGGCCCCCAAGGCAGAGAGGGAATGCACCGGGGGCTACATAATCCTCCAGCCTCCTGGGGCTCTGAGCAGTCAGGGCATAAGGAGAGGCCACTCCTTTCCGATGCTAAAGGGAAGGTCTCCCTTTTTAAACATGACGTTGCTCCCTGGCAGCCATGGTGCTGTGTGTCTGCCTAAAGCTGGGAAGGTCCAGGTGGATTTTGTTCCTGATACAGAAAGGAGTCCTTTTGTCACAAGCAGGACTGGCCTGGGGGGTCAAGTGGGTTGATGTCACTCCACCACTAAAAAGAAAGCTTCCTCTGTGCATTGCTTTAGACCAGTGTGCATTAGCATCAGCTGGGAACTCATTAACCCCAGGCCTACGCGATCAGAAACGCAGGGGTGGGAGCCACAAGAGGCCTATTAACACAGTGGTTTTGATGCTGAAGTGTGAGAGCCATTGCGGCACCAAGCACAGCGCTCTGACCTTGCTGACAGGGCCTGTAGCACAGTTACTGCCTGCCGTCCTTTCGGTGCTGCAGAGGGCAGAAGTCCCGCCCTAACTCCCACCCCCAGTGCTTCTGCTTCTTCCCCTTACACCCTCTCTCTCCCACCCTCTCACTGTGAGCTCTGGAACCCCACTACCTGATTAACAAATGCACCTAATTTTCAACCCTTCACAGAATCCTCGCTCTGCCTCCTTCACTTCAACCAGGCTCTTCTGGAGAAGTCCCCACAGCCCTCCTGCAGGGACCCCAAGCCCGTGCCCCAAGGAGCTGGAGAAGGAGGGAGGGTCTGTACTCTCCTAGCTCCCGGATCCTGCTTCCAGACCTTTCCAGTTCTTGCAACAGAAAGCAGGTGGATGTTTTGAACAAGGAAACGCTTATAATAATTGAAAAAACATGTACAACAAGAACCTAAATTTGAAAGTACACACACTAAACTTATATATATGGAAAAAAATACTGGAAGAAAATACACCAAAATTGTTAACAGCAGCCATCTCTGGATGGTGAGACGATGTATGATTTTTATTTGATTTCATACTTTTCAAAGAATCTACAATAAACACATATTTTAGGGGCTGCTCTGTTAGCCAACTTCCCAAGCTCACCCTGCTACTTCAGAGATCTAACGGGGCACTCTCCTCTCCCTCTCTAAGACCCGCAGACTGCTGCCCATGGTTAATGGGAACCTCATCAGCTGCCCTTGAACTTCTGCTCCCACCAGCTGATCTCATGTTTCACAAGGGTCAGTGGTGTTTATTCCCCAGCCAGTTTAAGTGTACCTGATGTTATAACAGATAATTTATTTAAACATTGACACTTATGCAATATGACCACATAAAAGAAAAAGTTGTTTCCATGAAAACTAACCGAATGCTTTGAAAGGCTTAATTTGAGTTGGAAAAAAAATGCTGTTGGCAACACAAATATAAAAGATTAGGGAAGAGCATTACAATCTGGAAAGACTTTGTGTACAGATTGCTTTGTAAGATCTTAATCCACTTTAAAGAAAGCAAAATGTGACACTGTAGGTGAAACTTCAAAGGCGTGGTTTTTGCAAGTGAAGTAAGGCAGATCTGGAGGCAGTGGACACCCTGGCAAAGAAAAGGCCTCGCCTGCCTCCAAAAGTCTGATGAACAAATGTACATTTATATGTTTTAACTTAAAAGATTAAATGTTATTATGATTCCTGCTTTAATCTTTTTAATCAACTTACCTCTACAAAACTATCATTCTGAATTCTTAGAATCAGGAGAAAGAACAAAGCCAAGCCCTAAGTGTTTAAAACTATTCTCACCTTCCAGTTCATGTTGGACCAGCCGTGAATTCACTCCCGATCAATGAGGTCCACGCAGACAGGCAAACGAGCAGAGGGAGCTGGAAGACCAGGACCCACTGCTCTGGTGGAGAAGAGAAGAAACAGGTCAGTCTGGGCTTTCTAGAGCAGACCACCTTAGGAAGACTCCTCTTTGATGGAGAGAGGGCAGATGAGCAAAGAGAGCAAGCTCTGTAGAGAGGAGGGTTAAGGGTTCCCACAAGACCCAGAGCCCGGTGGAAAGCAGATGGCCCAGGTGAGGGCTGAGACAGCCTTGGCCCTTGTTGGGCAGAAAGATCTCCTCGCTGCCCTTCACCAGGGCTGGGAGCCTGGGCCCAAGTGGACGGGGCAGCGCTGCTCCTAAGGCGACACATGCTCCTTCCCATCCATCTGAGGACACGAGAGCCCGGGTCCAGAATCTGTTCCTCCACCCACTCCTGCCCTACGAGCCGGTTTGTGGCTGAGTGCCTTTCTGGTGCTCAGGTCCTCTGAGTGTTAATTAAGCTAATCTAGGTATTTAAAAAACATCTGGAGGGAAGGGAATAAACGACAGGGGGAAAAAACTGTCCTAAGAAAGAAATTCCTATCTAGGATTCCCTCTAAAACGTGAGGGAGACCGAGGAGGAGGTGAGGCAGGAAGTGACACGGCAGGGACACAGCGGAGCACAGGATCTGCTCTGAGGCCCTGTATGCCACCATTTTTAGAATATGACACATACCCCAAGACTCAGAAGACTCGAGCTCTGGATGGAGAACCTACACACTCTGGAAAGTGACTTCCCTCTGGGGGCCTCGGTCCCATCTGTAAATGAAGAAAGGGGTGTCAACTAGATGGGCTCGAAGGCCCCTAGGTTTTCTGAAATTCGGCACTTACAGCACAATAATCACAGCTTCCCTTTGTCGTGCGGGCATGCTGAAGTGCACAGATGCATGAACTCGTTCTGCCTTCACAGCAGTCCTACGAGGGAGAGTTTATTGTCTCCACTTCCGAGACGAGGGAACAGAAAGATTACATAATGCATCCAGGGTCACACGGTGGGAACCGGGATTCGAACCCATCCACGCGGCTCCCGAGTCTTAACCTGATGCAGGCAGAGAGCTCTGCATTCAACAATCACCAGGGAGCTTCTTTCAATGCACTTAGAATTCAGAAAAGCAGCAGAAAATTCCACAGACCTTTAGAATGGGGATGAGATGAACTTCAGGAAAGATGTTGTAGAAAAACTTTCGCTTACAAAAGCATCTGAATATAAAAAGGTCATACCTCATCTATTCAAGGTCACACATGATCATGAAAACAAACTGGCAGGTGGCACGAGATAGCCAGGTTTTCCCCATAACTTTTTCAAAGTCAGATAAGCCAAGGACAGGAATTTACACCATACACCTGTTTGAATGTGACGACGGCGATTGAAGGTGCCTGTTACCTTTGTGTATAAATGGCCTGTTCATCTTTAAGTAGCAGCAGATGCTGATGCGCACTGGAGAAATACTTTCCTAACATGTTATAAGCTGCTGTTGGAATTTTCACTTCGAGTAATCTCTAATAGTCTCAGGGTTTACCCATTTGTAAATCAAAATAAAATGTTTAAGGTCATGGAAATTTTATTTTTAAAACTTCTATTTTGAGTTTTGTACAAATGCAATAAGTGAGTTTGGCTGTTCCTGACAAATTTTCTGAGGCCAAACTACATATCTAGCGAACTGAAGTAGGTAAGAGATTAATTCCCAAGGTCAAGGACAACAAATAGGTCCAAAAAGCTTAGAGGAGGAAATAAACTAAAAGAACACCCAGTGGTCCAGCCATTGGGCAAACATGTACTATGCTTGCTAGTGTGACCTTGGACAAGCCATTGGGCCTCTCTAAGCCTCAGCTCCCCATCTGTAAATTCTCCTTCAGAGAGCGGATTGTATACACTCAGCACACAGAAAGCACTAAATAAATAACCATTATTGTTATGACAAATATCCCTCCTGCCACTAATGGACATGCCAAGCTGAAGAACATACATGAGGGGCATGCACGGCAAACAGCAGTCACTGCAAGACAAAAGGACAAGGTATCAAGAACCACCTGTGGACCCGGAGAACTGCAGATGCGGACTCTATTCCTGGTGACACCAACGGCAGGGCATGTGACCTGGAGCAAGTCACTAATCTCTCTAAAACAAAGCGTTCTTATTTTTAAAAGCAGAATCCAAAGAACAACTCTGAAATTCCTAAGTCACCACTGTCTCTGATATCACAGAACCTGACTGGAAAAATACACTGGCAGCTGCCTCGACGTCATACCTAGAGCGATAAATTCAAGCTCTTCAGGAAAGAAACATTTAATATCAACCTCCAAGTAGTGAAAGGGGTCCCGTGAGGGTAGGAGACGAGAGGGCAGAGCAAGCTGGCTCATTTCCACCCACTGCCTCCAAATTATAACCTTTCCCCACCTCCCTTCAATTACATGCTCCAACTCAGCCATTTCTGTAGCACCCCGCAGGACTTCAGCAAATGAGGACAACTGAGAAAGCTAAAAATATCCGCGGGCTATTTGCTCGGCTGCCATATGTACACCGGATGCAGTATTAGAAACAGGAGGCAGCTGGCATCTGAGGGCTGAACTGCAAAAACCAACAACATGGGGACAATTTGGCGAGGCATAAAATCTATGAAGTGCAGGAAATTTTAAACTTCCCCAGAACTATCCACAGTTTCAGCTTAAACTCAAGAACCAATGGCTTAGATAGAAATCATTCTATTTCCTTTACTGCAAAAAATCCTAATTTTTTCCTTTGCCAGATTTCGCCTAGAAAACAGAAAAAAAATTATTCACTCATTTTGGTTAGGCCGATTAAAGCAATACGGAGAATGGATTGGCCACAAACTATGTTTTCTTCTTGGCACACCTAACAAACTCAAGGATCCGTCTGTCTCTTGGTGTCTAAGCTCATTCCAGCCACTAGTTAGGCTGTGTCCTTAGTGTGAACTTTGCGAAGCTGTTCTCATTCCCAGTCTCTACCCTTTTCTCCCCAACTCTTCACCTGATCATTTGAGGTAGGGCTGGTTGGGGGAGGGGAGGTTCCATGCGAAGCTTGGGCATCACTTGGTGGACCTCTGAGCCCCACAGCCCGGTCAGCCGGGGTTCCCAGGGCCAGAGGGGCTGGGCCTCAGCCCGACACTTGGAGAGGAACACCTGCCCTGCTCAGACCCCAGGATGGGGGCCAAGGGCGGCCACCGCATCCCTCACCCTTCCACAGAACACGGCGTCCAGAACATTCGCTCCTCCCCCAAAACCCTTCGGACACCAACACCCTCTGGCTGCCTCTGGGCCCCGCTCGGACCGCGTGCCGGCCTAAACACGCCGCCCCCGGGGCCGGGTCCGCGGATCTCGCGGCGCCTGGATGACCCGGCCAGGCAGGGGCGCTCCGTGGGTGCGGGCCGGGGTGGCCGTCAACCCCCAGGTCCCCACCCACAGCCGGGGGCCAGCTGGCGGGCGTCCTGGAGAGAAAGCGCGAACGCGAGCCGCCAGCCGGACTCCCCAGGTCCCCAAAGAGCTGTTCTGCTTCGGGTCAGGATCCCGCTGACCCGGACGGCATCCACTTACAGCCCCAGGCCGCGGAGGCTCCAGCGCCCGGCCCGCAGACAAACCACGACTCCCACAATGCCGCGGGGAACTACCAGTCCCGAAGTGCACCGCTCTGCGCCGGCGCAGTGGGCCCAGCGGCCTTCGTAGGCACACCACCCCGCGCCGGCGCAGTAGCCTGGGCGGCCTTTATGCAGCTGCGGCGCGGGTTGCGGATGGGGATTGGCCCGGTGGGGAGCAGCTGCTGGGAGTGGGTTGGGTACCTGAGCCCGCTCCTGGGGTGTGTTCTCATTCCGAATTTATCCGAGCTGGAGGAGGACTGGCGGAGGGCGGGGCGTCGCGGGGCCCCTCGGTCCTCGCCTGTCCCTCATTCCCTGAGTGCTCCTCGCAGCTGTCTGAGCACACGTGGGTCCCCAGAAGTTTCCAAACAGCGTTCATCTTCGCTGACAAAATGCATGCATTTTCCTTTGGGATAGCGGCAAGGTGCTTGGTACTGTTCTCAGATACCTTCATTCAACAAAAGTTTCGTAAACGCATGCGGAGTTTGAGCATACTCAGTCCCTGCTCGGGGAGAGCGCAAACTGGACGCCCAAATACAAGGGAACGAGCAGGAATGTTCACAGAGCTCTTACCACGGCTCGGCTCACTCTTCTGTGGATGAGGAAACTGAGGCAAAGGGAGGTTAAGTGGCTGACGCAAGACAACGCGCGAATTGCAGCGACAGAATCTAGGTTTGAACCCAGGCGGTCTAACTCCCGATCCCGTTATGACATTGTGTGATGATGAGGTACAAAATGCTAGGGAGTGCAAAGGAAAGGACAGACCGAGGGGTAGGGGGTTTAGTTCTGTCAACAAGCGAAGTTTTCCTGGAGAAAGTGACAAAAATAGCTTTGTTCTAAGCACTTGGAGGCTCTTGTCTTACTGAAGTCTCATAACAAGCCTGTAAAGGACATAATGTCATTATGACCGTTTCACAGGTGAGGAGATGGAGACACCGATTAAAGGAGTTGTCCAGGGTTTTAAAGTCAGCAAGTGCCGGAACTGGGACCTGTCTCAGTAATCTGGATCTAGACTCCATCAGGGCAGCCACTACCATGAGCACTTCGTCAAATCGCTTCTGAGCTACCCTGTAAGGACTAGGTAGAACTCAGGTCCTGTGGAGCCAGTAGACCAAGCAGGAGTAACTCTGAAAGCAAACGGGATGGAAAGGAAAAACAGCAAGTTGTTTGAATTGGCATCCTTAGTGGCCGAGTTGAAAGTGGCAAGCCTGGGTCTGAGGGGAATTGATGCTGGAGTGGCAAACTAGGATAGATGGTTTCCACAACTGTATACCCAACATGCTTGTAAAGATTCAGCAATTCCTATTCCCCAAAAGTAAAGTGGCTGATTACCATCTGTGTCACTCCCTATGCTTTCAGTGATGATAATAAAATGAACTTAATTGGGAAAAGCTAGATTTTTGTCCCTCAATTTGTTTTCGTGTGTCAAAGATGAACAAAGCCAGGCACGAGTTAAAGTGTTAAGGATAGACTTTATTCAGGAACTATTGCAACGGGAAGGAGGGTCCAGCATGAACTAAACTCGACTTTGATTTGTGCAGAAGTAATTGGGAATTTTAAAGAGAGACTGAGGGAGTGGAGGCACTTGAGCAGAATCAAGGAAGTGGAAACTTACAAAAAGCGGGGAATTGGTCAATCTCATCTGGGTTTGTTAATAGGCACTTACCTGGAGGAGAAAGGAATTTCTGTCTTTATGACCAGAGGCAGTGGTGCAAGTTAGAGCAGGGTGCCCACCGGGCAGGGAGAGTTCCCTCCTTGCATGCGGGCATTTCGAAGAGACAAGATGGTTCTGGGTGATAAAAGATTTACGTCTCAAAAGTGGGAGAGAAAGGATTTATAATGGCAAGCTTTCTAAAGTAACTGCTCCAAGAGGGGGTTTAGGGGGCTGATTTGCCTACCACCAGGTTTTGGCTGGAATGAACTGTAAATTCTTCTGGCAGCATGGAGCTTTCTCAGGCAGATACTCTAAGGGGGGCAGGATCCTCTTAGAGATGTAACCTTGAGCTGTTAGAAACTATGCTAGTATTTGTTCCAGTCTCTTAGTGTGGGGAGGAGGATGAAACTATTTGTGCCAAGAGACTGCAGTTTTTTTTTTTTTTTTTTGAGGAAGATCAGCCCTGAGCTAACATCCACTGCCAATCCTCCTCTTTTTGCTGAGGAAGACTGGCCCTGAGCCAACATCCGTGTCCATCTTCCTCTACTTTATATGTGAGATGCCTACCACAGCACAGCTTGCCAAGCAGTGCCATGTCCGCACCTGGGATCCAAACTGGTGAACCCCAGGCCGCCAAAGTGGAACGTGCGAACTTAACCACTGCACCAGCAGGCCAGCCCCGAGTCTGCAGTTTTTATAGGCCAAGGTTGAGGCCTAGTGGAGAAGAGTGCTCAGAGGAGCGTGACTAAGTTTGGTCAAGAAGACAGTCTTTGTCAGCTGGTGGAAACCTCGGATCCCTGTCTGGGATCCAACCCAAGGCCTGGATTTTTTAGCCTGGATTGCTGCTCGGGGCGCACTGGGATGAATTTTCCCTGTGGAACCGCATTTCTGGGTTTCTGATCTAAGGAAGCCACTCTTGCCATATCTGCTCTTGGAATATGAATGACTTTCCCTAACGCTGTATTTAAGGCTTGTGTTAGTATAATTGCACGTTTGTTTTTAGGAAACAGATACTGTAAATCTCTCAACTCTCAACAGATAAAGCCTGTAGTCGATGTAAGATGTCCTACAAGCATGCCTTGAAGAAGGGCTCCAATTTTGAATTTTGTCTTAGTGCCCTAAGACTTGAGGCCCTGCTCACGGTTGCTCTGCCTTGTCTGAGCAGATGAGGACATGGGGGAAGAGAAAAGGGTCAGCTAGGAGGCACGAAGCTATAGCCACATACCCCTGTCTTGCATTGACTTCCTACTCTCAGCTGCTGAGTAGACCATGACCCACCTTAGGCCTCCCCTCGTTTCCCTGCAATAGTTCTGCCCACTTTGTGTTGATCTCTCTCATAACCTTGTCACGTTATGTCATCATGGTGTTTATGTATAGGACTCCCTCTCTACTCAGTGTGTTCCTCCAGCTCAGGGAGTCTCGTTCATCTCTAGATTTCTGGGGTCTAGGCCAGTGACCCAAGTAGACAAATGTTAAATGTTGCTTATCGAATTAATGAATGAAGGCACCTAATCTGTGGACTGCTGATTCCTCATTTATAAATGAAATGATATGATGAGAATATGAGGTGCCCCCCTGACATCCTATGATATCGTGAACCCCAAGGTGCAAAATATTAAGAAGATACTGTCTAGCTTTTCAACAGACATCAGCAATTTAGACACTTTCTATACCTTTCGTCTCTCAAAACATAAGTGGAAATAAGTAATTGTAAATAGAAAATAAATTGAGTGAAAAGAATAGGTTGTTTATAAAGTAATGTTACAACTTCATATTTTTTCTAAAATAATGAGAACTTTTAAAAGTTAATTTTCTCTAAAACTTTAAGTATTCGTTTAAAAATATGTTTCTGTTGCACTGGGTAGTTCTTAAAGATTCTGCATCTCTGGTGTGGACTATTTTCCCTTGTGAAATGTTTGTCCTATCTTCGGACTTCCAGATAAACTAAATGCCAGGAAAACAATACACATAAAGTAACCCCATGATTCTGTTCATTCATCATTTCAAAATATACATTCATGAATTAATAAAGAAATGCTCCTGTGTCAATCCAGTAGCAAGTGATAGATTTTTGAACCTCAGCTTCTGGGTAATACATCTGGGTTATTTATAAATTGAATTAGTCACAGACAAAATAACGTTTCATGAGAAAGAACGTCCAGTGATTTGTTAATCTCTCCTTTCTACCCTCACTGCCACTGCCCAGGCACTTTACTTCAAATTTGGCTTTATTTTCACTGTTGACATTGATTAAAATGACGTTTACATTGTACAGAAAGTAAAAGAGGTCTTCGGCATCAAATATTTTGCTCTGCCGAGAAGCACGAATCACTGAGATTGAAATGTCATCTGTCTTAATTGACCAACCACATGATCTCCATGGAAATTCTCAACAAAGACCAAGGAACTTAATGTCTTCTGAGCAATGACAATTTGAATTTGCTCCATGGCACGGGCATCCCTTCGTGCCTGGATGTCACAGGTTGGCTTTATGGCTCTCTTGCTTATCAAGGCGACATCTGGAACTCGGTTGCACTAATGTTCTTGTGGATGGTGGCCTTTGGTTCCTCTAGATTCAAAATTTGACTCCTGTATTTCTCTTGCCAGTCCTCTACGATGTACTGGTGGTAGGGGTCGTTGGAGTGTTCTCGTCGCTTGGATTTCACCGTGCTCACCAGGATGGCTACAATGATGAAAGAGAACATTCCAATCATCACCATAAGGTACAAGATGACATAGTAGAAATTCTCAGCGTCCACTTTAGCTTGCAGGGCCTCTTGCTCAGCTGTCGTGTTCCTGCGCCAATTGTTCATATAGGTAATAAAAATCTTTTTGAAGACATCTTCCAGGGTCTGTGTCAAATTGGATAAAGTGGGCATCTTGCCCTTCTGCTGCAATTTAAATCATAAGATAGTTGAACAAGGTTAAGAAAACGGATCCTTTCTGCATTTGGCTACCTTAAGGGATGGAGGGAGGGGCATCCGTGGGGAAGTAATATTATTTCTTCTTAACCTGGCTGGTGATTGATTGAGTGCATAGTTTGTTATCCTTTAAATGTTTCGTATGCATTTTATGAATTTTTTGCATACTTGACATCTTGCAATAAAAGTTTAATGGAAGAGATAAAACTATATATAGTATGCTCCCAATTTATATACGTAAATAAATGTGTACATGCCTATGAAAATGGAAAAGACTGGAAATAAACGTTTCAAAATGTTGATAGTGGGAGGTATGTTTAAAGAAAATTCTTTTTCTTTTTTATACTTTTCTAATGTTCCAAATTTTCATCACTAATCTTGCATTACTTTGTTTTTAAATAGATCAGTAACCTCACAATGGCTAGCACAATGCCTTGTTCATAGCAGGCGTTCAACAAACACCAGTTGAATGAAACAGTGACTCATGTATGTCCCGTGTTTTTAGAGAATTACGGGGCAGAAGATTGCAAGAGCATTGACAGATTTTGTGGTTTGTTTCATCTCCTGTGTCTAGGCAGTTCTTTTTCCAAATATCCCAAAGAGATGAGTATGTACATCCAAATTTGAAAGAAGTATTTTAGGTAAGCGATACAAAGAAACAACCTGAGAGATGATTCGTATTTCTCAAATCCAGCTCTCCTCTCCATCCTCACTATCACTGCTCAGCTGCCAACATCTCTCACAGGGATGATACAACGCAATCCAACACAGCTCTCCCCGAAGCCATCTTATGGGGGGCACGTCTGTCCTGCACAGCAGTCAATATGCTCTTTTTACGACAGAAATAGGGTGGTATCATTCCCTTGCTTTTAAAACAATGCAACACCTTCCTGTTGTTCTTAAAATAAAATCCTAATTTCTTATCGGGGTGTACCTGGCCAGGCCTGAGCTGACCCCTGACCACCTCCCCATTTACCCCACACTCACAGAAATCTGGTCATACTGGCCTTCCTTCCTGCAAGTTGATAAACATTCTCCTGCTTCAGGACATTTGCATATTCTATTCCTTCAAAGTAGAATACTCTTGCCCTGTTCGTCCCTCTGCTACCCTCTGCCCCTTACAGTCCTAGCTTAACTGTCACTTCTGAGAAAACTTCCTTGGCCCTGCTCTCAGTTGGTTCCCACCACCACCATCACCACCACCGCTTTTCTCCAAGAGCATCTTGTTATTTTTCCTCAAAGCACTCTTTGCAATATGTGGCAATTGTGCATATCTATCACTGGTATGTGTCTGTGTCTGTGTGTGTGTGATTATTGGCTTCTGGTCTCATCTTTCCTTCTTGACTGTCATCTCCGTGAGGACAGGCCTCAAATCCCCTTTGTCTACCTTGGCCCAGCCCAATGTCGGTCACAGAACCTGACACATAGTTGGCACCCAATGAATGTCTGATGAATAAATTAATGTGCCAGGGACATGCTAGACATTGGAAATGCCGAGATGATGAATACGAGCATTCTGTCTGTGGAAGCTCAGTGTAGTGGGAGAGATGCAAACAGATGACAATGCGAAGTGCCAAGAGTTGTGACAGGTATGAACAAGTGATAAAGGAGCTCAGAGGACCGAGCTGAACCTGGTTCATAAATGGGCATGGAGGTGTGAACAGAACCAGAAGGACTACAGGCAGGAAGGAAACCTGTGATTGGCTGGGACCTGCAGGTCCACCCAGTCAATACAAGCCCAAAGGACCCAACCACAGGTTTGCCTGATACTGTTCTGAAAGGAGTGTCCCCTCTCTTTAACATGTGTCTTCCTTTCCTCCTATGAAAAGAGATGTTTCAGACCTCCCTGCCTTGGAAAGGGGGACAGACAAACTTCCAGGTCTTTCTCCCACAGAACATGCCTTCCCAACATTTCCCACATTGAGAGTTACTGTCACTAAGATAATATATGTTTCTCAGTCTGTTTTAAGTTCTATTATTCAAAGAACTCTAAGATCTTCCTCTCCTTCTCACCTCCACGCAAAGCCTAGTGGGTTGAAAAGAAACTTAACAAGTAGATGATTGCCTCAAAGCCAGGCCAAGCTCATATTCCAAGCAATGTAATAGAGACATGCTTTTCCCCACTTAAAATAATACAGTTCACTGAAAGAGTGTAGATAAGTGGCTTTAATCCTACTCAAGACTTCACCACTGGCTCCTAACCCTTGGAGAGACAAAGTCTACTCATTTTGGGGGAGTTCACCCTTGTTTCATCAATTGAAAGGCAACTACCCACACCCTCTGTGTTGTGTCGGGTCTGGTCTTACAAACGCTACGGGGCAGGATGACTTCACCTGCGAGCGTTCCTACCTTCCGTCTCGGCCAACCCTTCTCCACCTCATCATCCGATGAAGCAAATTGTGATTTTGCCAGCTTATCTGTCCCCCTGCTCACCCTCCAGAGAGATTTCAGTTTCCTTTTGTGAAGCCAAATTGGAAAATGGGTAGAACATAGAGACAACTGGAAAAGAACCAGAAGATCTAAGTTTACAAAATAAAGGGCTGGTAATGGGGCAGAGGAAAGTCACAGGGATGGGCATTGAGGGAAGCTGGTGTGGGGGCGTGTCCTGAACAACTGTGGAGGAGGAAGAAACCAAGAAGGGGAAGAACGAACCTCTTCCAGGTAGAGACTCAGATCCCTTGTAGGGTTCTTTCTGAGATCCTGTCAATATTGGAATTATTCTAGCTACTTTCACTTGTTGGATAGCACTTCTTTGAAGCAACTCCAGTATGCACTGGGCCTCATGAGGCCCTGCCTTGGATCTGGGCTCCCCCAGAGAGGGGGTGGCGCTACAAGCTCCTAAGTGACTTGAGCTTCTCTCCCCACCCCACCTCCCATGTGTCTCCTTTGTGAGCTGTGCTTGGAGTTCACCAGTGGCTCCTCTGAGTGGAGGAGGTAAAGGTCCCAGTGTGATAGGGGATGGGCAATAGGACAGGCCACACTCACTGCCAACATCCTTCTGCGAATGTTTTCATCAAAGCAGCTGGTTAGCTTTTCACCACCTGTGGAAAACCCAGGTCAGTGCCTGACTCATAAGAAGTGCTCAGTCATTAGTCCCCTTCCTTCAGGGCTCTGAGGAATGGGGACATGGAGAGGTATGTTTCGATGCTTAGCAAGCCCATCTGGGATTGGGTGCCTCAAGGGAAGGCTGAGAGTCCACAGCCAGAATGAGGATGGGGCACTTTAAATATTGAGGGGGAGGGAATTGGGTCCCAAAGGAGAAGGGAGGGAGCACTGAAGTAACCCTGGTCTTCTGAATGACTTTGCCTGTGTTGTCCCGCGGAAGAAGAAGGAAATACAATTTCTCCAGGACAAAGGAGCTGAATGTTTCCTGACTCACATGCACAAGAAAGTGGTATGCTCTTGTAGTTTCAGAAAACTCACCCCCCAGCCTTTCCCTGGCTTCCCAGTCTGGGTTGGAGACCCCTTGTCTATGCTTCTTCTGCAAACTGCCATGTTTGCTTGCTTGTTTTCAATTACCTGTTTCTTGTGTGCTCATTCATGTGATGCTCAGAACCACGCTATGACATTGGGGTTATTACCTCCACTCTAGAGACAAGGAAACTGATGTTCAGAGAGCGTCAGTCATTAGAATCATCATTACACGAGAGCCTGAGCTGATGGTGGGCTGAGACTGTTTTATTTGTCTTTGAATCCCAGGGCCCAACGTCGTGGTTGGGACATAGTGGCCTTTACTAAATGTTTGGTGGATGAATGAGTGTTTCTCTCCGCGTCCTGTGGAATTCGACTGGAAACTATGGGAACAGTGATTCTTAACTTATTTTCAGGGGAGGGGAGAGGAAGAGTTCACAGATCCCTTGAAAAGTGTACATATGCACATACGAAGCTCTACATTCACTTTCAGGGGCCTCCTGGGCCTCCCAAAGCCCCTCCAGAATCTCTGCAAAAAAATCTCGCTGAGATGAGGGACGTCAGTGCCCAATTCCACTGGAGTCATTTGGGTTTGTTTGAAGGTGCGGGTGTGGTAGCATTCACCGACCTGTTGGCGCTAATACCGCTGATTCTTAGCTCTTCTAACGTGGACAAAGGCCCCTGCTAGGCAGATCAGGAGAGGCTTAATCACAGAGCCGAAAAGGTCCTAAGGGGGTTAAGTCCCCAAGTGCTGACCCCTGGCCAGGCTGAAAAAGTCAAGTCCAAGGGGGATTCGCTTTTTGAACTCTGTTGCATGAGACATGACTGAGCAGTCCATTGTCTGTTCCAGGAGCACACAAAAAAGCAAACCACAGTGTGTGAAAGCAGTTTCATTGGTGGACATTATGCTAAAACATATTCAAATAAATTTACATCTCTGATATCTAGAGTAACTGTTTAGCTGGTAGACCTTGACCATATTTGGTATACATACTTCTCCCTCCTATAGAGAGAATACCATAATTGGTGTTTACTTCAGTAATGTGAAGGCAACTATTATTAATGTTCCATTAAACCATATTAAATTGCTCTTTATATAAGTTAAAAATGGTCAAATACTGGCAACTTCATATAGTTTGACCTAATATATATAGTCCTATATTTTGGGGCATTTTCAATAAATAATTCATGCTCGAAAACCAGGATAGGCCCCAAGAGATTATTTAGGCTGGACTATTCACTTGCCAGGTGGAGTGACTGTAGCCCACAGAGCTTCAATCACTGACCCAAGGTCACAAGGTTTGCATGTTGGCCACGTGCAACTTGGGGACTAGAAACCCAAGTCACCCAGCTTAGCACCCAGCACCCTCTCTGTCCTAGCAGAGGTCACACGTTCCAATAACTCCCTGTTTATATCGCCTGTGGCTGGTGAGCTCAACTGGGCAAAAGAAATGAGACCGAGACCATGGGTGAGCTCATGCACGTCAATTAGTTCTGCCCTTTCTTTGGACACATAATAATTCCCTTATTCCAGCTGTGCCTGTCACAGTGTGTGTAATTCATAACAAGGGCAATCTGGACACTATGAGGAAAGTAACACCCACTTGATCCCCAGATCCAAAGTTCTGTCTTCTCGAAACATGGTGGATCATTAGCATCACCTGAGCCTGCAGAAGGCAGCAAAGTCTTTCATTTTTATATCAAGAATAGAAAAAAGATACACTTATCTACATTTACCATGAAACTCCCATAAAAAAACTTCCAAAATTTCATCCAAAGGCAATTACTGAAGGAATGAGTAAGGAAATACTACTGAAAAAAAAAAGAAGAAGAAGAGGAAAAAGAAAGAGAGGGAGGGAAGGAGGGAGGGAGGGTGGGAGGAAGAAACGAAGGGCTAGGTATTATGCCACAAAAATCATTCCTTTTATAATTTTCTGGAAAAGGAAAATAGAGAGCTTCATTACTTAATTCCTCAAAAAATAAAGAATTTGCAATGGAAACTTACCGAGGCAGTGTGTGGGCAGTGGGAAATTCCTTGCTAAAAGCTAGGCTGATCTGAACCTTCTTGTTGGTCTTGTCGAGCTCTTAGGATTGTGCATAAATCTCAGTGGGCTGGGCACTCTCAACTCGCAGCCAATTAAGCCCTTGCTAGATGCAGCCGGCAATCCTAGGCTTTTATGAACCCAAATGTTTAATCTAATCTTATATGGAAAGTCAAACACTGACCGGCATTTGGGAATTAACCTTGGAGCCTGATGGGCTGTGCCTGCTTGGAGTCTGGCATTGGGCAGAGGCAGCACGAGTTCCCTCTTCAGGCCCCGTAATGCCAGCTCCATCCAGCACAGTGCCTGGGCACAGTGACTGACCCTCCCAGGAAAAGTCTCAATGGGCAGCACCATTTCTTGCCAGAACTTGCTTGGAGGGAAAGCATCCCAGAGAGATGAGACGAACGTGGGCATCCCTGGGTGGTTGGCGTAGGTTGAGAGGAAGGCCAGTATGATTCAAGGCAAGTGACCCTGTTCTGACCACCTCTGCATAAGGCAAATTTTGTTTAAATATGCCTCTCTTGGACAATTTCCAAATGACTTTATAAGAACATTATCATCTTTTGAAATAGAAACTGGCTACTATACGGAGGAAATGGAAGCAAGTCCAGCAAAGTATGTAAACACCTCAAAAGAGCTAACCAAACTCTACTTACCAAAAGATCCTTTTCTATCATGGTGGGAGTCCTTGGAATTTGGCAGAGCGGTGCTTAATAAGAGCTAACACTTATTGAGTATTACCACGTGCCAGGGCCTTCTCAGATGCTTTTATTGTATTAGCCTCAGGTAGTTATTGCCACAACCCGCTGGAGAAGGTACTATAACCTTGACAGCGGAGGCAATCCAGGCACAGAGAGGTCAAGAGCTCAAGATGATAGAGGTAGAGCCAGGATTTGAATTCAACCCTGCATGGCGGCTGCAGAAGTTACAGTTCTCTAAAATCACTGGAGGGTCGTAGGGCTGGCCATGACCGTGACCTTGAAGCTGTGTAAAGGAAGGTTGACTTTGTTTTACAGTTGGATTTCCTCATTAAGTGGTGCTCTGAACAATGTGGTTTGAAGAACACTGGGTGTCTAGGATTTTAAATTATCTCCAAATTATGGTAGTTAACATGGTAGGTATGATCTGAAGAAGTAAGGACCTCTATAACTCCACACCATTTGTCCTCGTCGATTGTCTTCACTGAACAAGATAAGGCAAACCCAACCGGAAAGAAAGGAATGGTTTGACGGTCCAGTTGGGCTGAAGGTGTCTCCTCAGAAATGGAAGGAAGACATTCAAATGGCTCCGTGGGAAGTTCTACTGGGGTGACTATGCCACCTGCTGGTGGAAACAAAGAACAGAGGCCCATCTCCCTCACTCTTCAAGTAGCCCTGGCTGTTTGACTTCACGTCTTGAATTCTCCTAGGGCAAAGGTGAGGAGAATCAAAAGAGTGCACAAGTCTACACTTCGGTGACTAGAGGCAGAATTGGAAAGCGATATGTCCTGGAGGCTAAGAGCTCGGCTTTGGAGGCTGAAAAACCAGGTGAGCAAATTACTTAGCGTTTCTGATCTTTGAATCCTTCATCTGTAAGAATCCTCCTTAGTGGATAGCCATAAAAATTAGATGAGATGATGGATATAAACCACTTATTACAGAACCTGACACATAGTAGGGAAGTAAGTGCCCCATACATATTAATTTTTGCTATTATTTTTAAGAGAAATAAGCAAGAGGACATGGCAGTGAGAGGCAGAGCTTGACCAGACCTCACCGAGGAAAAGAATGTTCTAGCGCCGGGTGAAGAGTAGGTCCTTGATGGTTTATTTTTAGATAGCTCTTCCCCATGCCCTGATATGCAATTCACATGACTGGAAAGAGATGGGGACCTGAGGAAATGGATGCATAAGCAAGTGTACATATGATCCAAGTATAGTTACAAGCTGGAGAAGAACGGAAGGGGGAATGGACTGTTTCACGTTTCCCCTTGACAGGCGTCAGCCCCCTGACCTCTGCAGAAGGCTCTCAGACTCACTCTGCATCGCCCCCAGCCGGAAAGTAAAATGGTGTCTGCCCAGAAAGCAAGGTAGATAAAGGCAAATGTTCTCTCTGAAAATCGAATTGCAGCCCGCGTCTTTTCAGAGCTCCTCTGCCTACACGTGGCATATGTCTTTCAAACCCAGAGAGCCGAGTCTGCCTTTGGATTGAAATTGGATGTTATTCACTCTGACATCCGGCACTAACAAAAACCAAAACTCCCTCAAAAGAGAAGAGCTGTGGGAGACTTTGTTTAAAATCGAGTCTGCCTTTCAAGCTGCCAGAACTGTTCCTAGGGCCCCACGATGGATACAAACCAGCAGGCTAACGAGACTCCTTAATTGAAACACAGCAGCTAATGATAAATGATGGGGCATGCAGAAACTGGGGGTAATTGCCTTTGGAGAACTTCAAATCAGTTAGGGTCTCTCTGCCTCAAGCGAATCCTGCTACGAGATACCCCGCATGGGCTCTATCCACGGACCTACTGTTACCGTAAGGCAACAGAATTGATGACGCTACATCCATATCCTCATCCCTCCTCCGCACCCTCCCAGATAGTTGTGTCACCATTTAGGGTTCAGTCCAACTTCAGAGTTTGCATTTCTATGATGATAGAAATATTGTTCTTTGATGTCCCAAGTAGTGAGCTGTAATTACATCTCTCCTATACAAGTTTTTGTTTTTCATGGAGTGAATAGTTATTTCATCTTTGCTTAGCTACCTTTGATCTCTTAGACATCAAAGCTACCTTTGATAGGGGGTATCTCTTTCTATATTCCTCAGTGGTTCAACATCACTAGTCATTAGGAAAATGAACTTACGACCACAATGAGATACCCACTATACACCTACCAGAATGGCTAAATTTTAAAAAGACGGACAACATGAAGTGTTGATGAGAATGTGGAGTAACTGGAACTTTCATGCCTTGCTGGTGGAAATGTAAAATGGTGCAACCACGTGGGAACAGTTTGGCAGTTTCTTAGAAAGTCACTATGTGGCCCCAATAATCTCACTTTTGAGTATTTACCCAAGATAAGTGAAAAAAGTATGTCCACACAAAGACTTACACATGAATGTTCATCATAGCTTTATTCGTAATAGCTGAAAACTGGGACTAATCCAAATATCCCTCAACAGATGAATGGGTAAACAAATTATGGTATATCCGTACAATAGAATATTGCTCAACAATAAAGGTGAATAAACTAATGATACGTGCAACAACACGGATGAATCTCAAAAACGTTATCTGAGCAAAAGAAGTCAGATAGAAAAGAGGTCGTACCGCATGATTCCATTTCTAGAAATTCCAGAGAGGCAAAAGTAATCTATCATGATAGAAAGCAGATCAGTCGTTTCCTGGGGCCAGATGAGGGGAAGGTTGACTGCAAAGGATTGAGAGAGAACTTTTTGGGGGTGACTGAGTTGTTTTAGAGCTTGATTTTAGTGGTGGTTGCCTGGGGGCATGCATTTGTCAGGACTATGCGCTTAAAATGGGTACATGTAATTTTATGTAAACTATACCACGATAGAGTTGATTTCTTAAAACTCCATGTTTATTTAGGTGACTTGTAAATTCACATCTCCAGCCCGGTCCTCTCCTCTAAAGTTCAGACTCAAATATCCAAATGCTTACTTGACATTTCCACTTGTATGTATAATGGACATCTCAACTTCAAAAGTCCAAACAGAACTCAATTCTCCCACCAAATCTGCTCCTCCTCTGTACTCTGTGACAGTAAAGTGGCCTCACCATCCTCCCAGTTCCTTAAGCCAAAACCCTAAGAATTAGCTTTGATTTCTTTCTTTTCCTCACCTCCCACATCTAATCCACTAGAAAATACTTTTGACTGCCTCTCATGAAAGAGAAATCTCTCCAAGCCTTGAGCATTCCCACTGGCAATGAACCTACCAGAACCATAGAACCTACCCCAATCTCTTTGAAAACTGTGCCTACGCTTTTGTGTCAAAAATTAGCATAATGGTCAATTGAAAAGAAGAGTTACAATCCTTCTCATGAGCCAACTAGACACCTGTTCTCAGAATCTTGCCTTTTCTTTGTTGTACTTTCTCATTGCTGCCCTAAACCTAGTTCTTTCCATTTCTGCACAGGCAGGCCCTTTGACTTGTCTTTTTCGCCTGGCAAGCAATAAATTCAGCTTTGTTTCCGACTGCTCTGGTGGTTTTCTGTCTTAATTTGACACTTCAAAACACATCCCAACTCAGTCTGCTTCTCTTCAAACCACCCTGGCTCGTGGCTGGACTGTGTCATGACTTGCTCACTGCTTTCAGCTTTCCACTCTTTGTCCCCATTCATCCACCTCTAAGAGCAACCAGCAAGATCTTTTAGAAACATAAGCCAGAACATGCTAATCCCTTACTTAAAACTCCCCATGGCTTTCCCAGCACCTTCAGAGTAAAATCCAGAATTTTTAGTGCAGCCCACCAGGACGTAGCCCCTGGTGCCCTCTCTAATCTCATCTTCCGGTCCTAGTCTGATCCTGCTTCCCTGCTCCTCTTTTTTCTGCCTTAGCAACTGTATTCGTTTCTCATTGTTGCTGTAACAAGTTACCGTGAACTTGGTGGCTTAAAACAACACAGATTTATTATCTTAAAGTTCTGGAGGTCAGAAGTCTTAAGTGGGTCTCACTGGGCTAAATTCAAGGTGTGAGCAGAGTTGGTTCCTTCTGGACACTCTTAGAGGAGAACCTGTTTCCTTGCCTTTTCCACGTTCTAAAGGCTGCCTGTATTCCTTGGCTCATGGCCCCTTCCTTGTATCACTCCAATCTCTGCTGTCATCATCACATTTCTTACTAACAACTCTGACCCTCTTGCCTTCCTCTTATAAGGACATTTGTGATTGTACATGGCCTGCCCAGATGACCCAGGATAATCTCATCTCAAGGCTATTAATTTAATCACAACTGCAAAGTCCCTTTCACCACATAAGGTAACTTAATTCATAGGCTCCACAGACTAGGACGTGGACATCTTTGAGGGGCCATTTTTCAGCTACCACAGCATCTTTGCATCAGCTGTTTCCTCTGCCTGGAATGCTCTTCCTACACATCTTAGCACAACTCACTTCTTCTTTACTTCAAATGACATCTTCTTAGAAAGGTTTTTTTCCTGCCTATTCAATTTGTAACACTGGTGTCCACCCCAGTGACCAGCCACTGTTTTATTTTCCTCAGAGCATTTTTAATTATCTAAGTTGTGCGGGGCCGCCACATACGGTTGCATAGGCTGGACAGTTCACAACCAGGGACCACTATTCCTTTGGACTAGAGTGTGAATGGAGTCTGTGTGCAGCCTGCACTGCCATACATGGCATGTTTGAATTCCGAAATCATGTTTTATTGCTTGGTTTTTTTTCTTCCTATCTCTGAGGAGAACTTGAGCTTCTTGACAGCAGAAACTTTGCGTTGCCCTTTTTGAGTCTGGTGAAACAAAAGCTCTCGCTGCTTCCCAAATTCATGGGAAAGGTAGCAATTCTAGATTCCAGATCTGATGAAATCAACAACCTCATCGATTTACAAGGTACTGAGATTATTCTTTCAATCAAAAACATGCTTGGAAAAGAAACTTTCATCATTTCAAAAACATTAATAGCACTTGAAGTTTCCAAATGGGGCTCATAAAATAGGAAGCTTGTTTGACGGTCTTAGCATGAGCATGATGGTTTTGTGAAAAGCTGGAGCTGGCTGTGCTGGGAAGGACTGAGAGTTTCATGCAGCTGCACACTGAGCTTCTAATTTCTCTATGCCCAGCTTTAGAATATTAGAAGAGATGACAATGATTCTAGAGTGGACGACATTATCTGACTGAGGAACTCCCGGAATTGTCTTCTTCTCTAAGCCACAAACAAGTGCAGCCATTTCTTTTTTATTTTAAAGATTGGCACCTGAGCTAACATACGTTGCCAATCTTTTGTTTGTTTCTTTTTTCTTCTTCTTCTCCCCAAAGCCCCCCAGTACATAGTTGTATATTCTAGTTGCGAGGGCCTCTGGTTGTGCTCTGTGGGATGCCACCTCACCATGGTCTGATGAGCGGTGCCATGTCCATGCCCAGGACCCAAACCTGCAAAACCCTGGGCCGCCGAAGCAGAACATGCGAACTTAACTATTCAGCTATGGGACTGGCCCTCAAGCTCAACCATTTCTGACAAATATGGCTTCACCCGGACCCCCCAGACACATGGGCTTCTTTTGTTTATCAATGAAAGAAGCAACCTTGTAGGATGCTTCTGAGACGCTGCTTTAGTGTAGAGCAAACCAAATTCTGTTAAAGTTTATCCTCTTCAGATGGAGCCTTCACCCGAGGTGCTTCCCCAGCTTTTCTGGCTTCATGCTTTTGGGGATGAGAATCTTGCCACCAAGAAGCAGCAGGCCTATTCTGCAATGGCAAGCCAAAGGACATCTCAGCATCATCATGTTCTATTTTCCTCCAGCAAGGACCAAAGTGCACAATGACACATGGCATAACCTACTGGCAGGGTATTGTCTTAATTTCTGTTTATCTTGGTAGCATTTCTCCACAGGTGCATTAATCTGGAGTGAGTGAATGAGACCTTGCCATTATATGAGGCCATTTGATAAAGATGATTTTCAAGGAAGAAAAGGATCAAAACAAACAAAAGAGAATCAGCAGCATGAGGGCTACAGGCATGTGGGGATTCAAACAGGATGGAAAGATGAGAAGGGAGGCCCGGAACTCAAGGGACAGCGTGGGGCTTCCTGTCCCCCAGGAGCTGTGGGAGGCCCATGGGCCCTTGTAGGGAAAAGAAGATCAACCCAGACAGGGAAACAGAGGAGGGGTCACAAGCAAACTTTGCTTTCTAGTTTTGCCAAGAATCAGGCCTGCCTTTTGGTCTTTGCTCAGAATCCAGGTTCCTGTTAGTGCAACCAGTGAAACTCTTTCCAGATGTATTCTTGACAGCTCTCCTCATTCCTGAGCCCTTCATTTGGGCAGATGGTTGAGTGGGTTTTCTCTGGAGCGTCTGTGTCTGATTCAAAGACAGAAGCCAGGGATGGAGAGTGTCCGGGGCAGGAAGAGTCCTGTGTGCTCCCTGGGAACACCCACCCCCCAACTCCATCACCATGGGCTCCCAGCCCTCTTGGCGCACTCAGGTTTGGCCTCAGTGGGGCACATCTGCCAAACCCAAGCACCTGCTCCCTTAAGAAATCTTCTCTAAGATTTCCCTCTCCTTGAAAATTTGAAACAAATCCATGGTTCCTTGCCTTGTCCTGGAGAAAACTATCTCCAAGTCTTTCCTGGGTTCAAAGTGTGGTAGCTTTAAGAATTTGCTTCACCTCACACCTTTTAGGATGGCTATTACCAAAAAAACAAAAAACAACCAGTGGCGATGGGGGTGTAAAGAAATTGGAGCCCTTGCACACTGCTGGTGGGAATGCAAAATGGTGCCGTCACTATGGAACCACTATGGAGGTTCCTCAAAAAGTTAAAACTAGAACTACCATATGATCCAGCAATCCCAGTCCTGGGTATTTATCCAAAAGAGTTGAAATCAGGATCTCGAAGAATATTAGCACTCCCACGTTCATTGCAGTGCTATTCACTATACCTAAGATGTGGAAACAAGTTAAATGTCCATCAGTGGATGAACGGATGAAGAAAATGTGGCATATACATACAATGGAATACTATCCAGCCTTTAAAAAGAAGGAAATTCTGTAATGTGTGACAACATGGATGACCCTGGAGGACATTATGCTAAGTGAAATAAGCCAGGCACAGAAAGACAAACAGAGCCTGAGTTCACTTCTA